AGTCCGCAGACATGCCGCTGTACCACTGGGGGGCGGCGAAATATAAGATGTTTGTTTGTAATTAAGCACAAAGCTTCACAACGGGCTATCTGTGCTTTGCCCCCCACGGGTATCGAAACCCGGATTCTAGCGTTGTAAGTCCGCAGACATACCGCTGTACCACTGGGGGGCGGCGAAAAATAACACATCCTCATCTTCCTTAATTTTGTCTTAGTACAAGCGTTCTGTTAAAGCTTAACTTCATCTGAGTTTAATGTCTACACACGACCGTTTCGCTTCTCTAATACTGAAAGTTGTCATACATTTAAAATTATCTACTAATTAAAAAACACTATCTGAAACCTCGATCAATCTAATTGGTTATGGGCAAGGCATGGCTTAGAGCTAGCTTTCCCAAACTGGGAATTCGAGGGAAGATTCTTGGTTCGCGACCTGTTTCTGATAAAACGCTCTCCGTACTTTGGACCTTTGGGTGCGTAATAAGAGTGAGGGTCAAATCCCACTATTCGATCAGACAATAGTAGTATCCCAACAGTTGGCGGTTAACGCTATTGATTAGTTGCCTTCCAATTTGTCTATCAGTTCAAAACGAGTGCCGGCTATGCGTGTACAGTCCTTTTGTATCTTCATCTTCGCCCGAAATTCTGAAACAAACGAACAAAGAAAATTACTGTATAAAAAATTGCAACAACAACGATGGAACCTGGAGCCGAAATTTGTTACTACGTCTCACACAGGGTATATGTGTCATAAAGTCGAGGAAAGACTCTTTTATTATCATTATTCGAACACAGCGCCACTAAATTTTTAGAACCTCATACACATTAATTGTAACTCAATAGACAACTTATTGATTCTGTTAAGTGTGTACGTTTATCTGTTTGTGTTAACACGACTTCTTATTGAGTCTGTTAAGTGTGTACGTTTATCTGTTTGTGTTAACACGACTACTTATTGATTCTGTTAAGTGTGTACGTTTATCTGTTTGTGTTAACACGACTACTTATTGATTCTGTTAAGTGTGTACGTTTATCTGTTTGTGTTAACACGACTATTTCTTGATTCTGTTGGTAAGATTATATGTTAAGTTTGTGAAGATTATGTGTTGGTTCTGTTAACTAG